CGTCCATTCGTCCATTCGTCCATTCGTCCATTCGTCCATTCGTCCATTCGTCCAATCGTCTATTCGTCTATTCGTCTATTCGTCCATCCATCCATCCATCCATCCATCCATCCATCCATCCATCCATCCATCCATCCATCCATCCACCCATCCGTCCATCTTTTCGTCCATCCATTTCTCAGTCCAGCCATTCATAGCCAAGACAATTAAACCAACAGTCAAAACCAAGGTGTTCGCGCCTTCTACGCGATTCTAGATGGCGTAAGAAGAGAACATTCGAATAAGGAATATCATTGAGAGACGTGTCGAGTCGAGATGAAACGAGTCGGACAGTTTCAATACCACGGGGAATGATCCGACCGCGGTGGCGCTGGCCTCTACATGCACATAAACACATTACGTAAATCATAACTGAATTCCCAGATCTGAAGCAGAACCCGCCCAGACATCTCTCTACAAACACAGCTGGCTCACAGGAGTGAAATCACGAGGGATTGTCATTTTACCACAGTACAAACACGATGGCGTATGAGAGCGTGGTCGCGGCTTTCGCGCGGAGAATCGACGAAAGCATCGCTAACTTCGGATGCTTCTGACAAATGTCGTGCAGTGATTTAATGAGTCGTGTTGAACACGTTTACCCGTGTTACGTGTTTGCGAGCGGTGCATCTACCCAGCGTAAATTGAAGGATGTCACATAACAGAATAATTTCATTCTTCCCCGTGGGTAATTGATCTAACATTCACACCCACCAAGGTTAGTGTGCTCAATTGGTGCCTTTTCTCTTTTGATACGAGCAATCCCATAGCGCGGTTCATCATCGTATGCAACCTCAGCACAAATCAACAGCAAAGCTGTGCCACGCAATCTTGTATCATGTCTCTTTGGATACTTTAGTGGTTACGGGATACCATAAACTATTGTGTATTGTTTAAACATCCTTTGTTTAGACATCGACGCACGGGAACCATTATATAAAAACGGCATACATCAAGATTTAAACTAGGTGTAGATTCCCTGTAGTATATTGCATCAACTCATCTCGCCAATAGCTTTCGTGTACAAGGCTCGTTTCAGGCTCTCTTACAGTGTTTTCAGACTACTCATGATTATGGTGAGTGGGATTGAATGTAATACAAGAAAGACTTGCTCTTAATAACTGTGGGGCCGGGCCATATACGCCACGCACATCAAAGAAAATAATCATTTTAACAAAAATTTGACATTAGACAAAAACGAGAGAAGGTTCTCATTTTATTTGGAGTCGCGCGTGACCCAGTAACTGTTGCTCGATGTTGCCATCCAACAGGCCTCAACTTTTTTTTACACCTTTCTTTAACTCTTCCGCATCTTATCTTTCCCACACGTGCTCCTGCCCAACGCCTTCTTTGAACAATCCCACACCCCCCTATTACCATCCCCCTTTTTTTAATTTCCTGATATTTCCCTAACTCCCACACGTATCTCTACCTCTATTCACCCGAAACCCTTTCTACCCCTTCGCTCACTCTTCCACATTTGTCTCTAGCTCTCCCAGACATGTCCATGGGTCTCCCACACACATCCTTATCTCAACCACAGACACTTCTCTAGCTCTCACACACAGACACACTCACACACAAACACGCACACCCACACACCCACACACAAACACACACACACGCGCGCGCACGCACACGCACACACACACACGTACACCCACACACGCACACGCACGCACGCACGCGCACACACACACACACACACACACACACACACACGTACACCCACACACGCACACGCACGCACGCACACACACACACA